GTCTTTACTACGGCTAAAGTTGGGAACTTGTGACCAAGTTGTCTCCAAGGACAGGTCCAGGAATTTAGTGAGGGGACTGAAACAGTAATCTACCGATATGTTACCAGTGCCGACACGTTGGAGATGTCACTTGGCACATTACCCCTTTTTTTAATACTGGACATGTTGGTAATGCGTCAATAATTCAACACATCAGCAATATAATACAAAAAAATTTAAATAAGTTGACAAGGCAACAATATTCAACAATAAGTTGACACGACAATAACAATTTAGTAAGCCGACAAACAATAATAATTCAATAGTATCATTTTGATATAAACTTAATTAATACATCAAAAATAAAAAATGACCGCAAGCATGGTGCTTGTAAATGTGTCCGTATGAGGCAAATTGTGGTTCCTGTAACTAAAAATGATTTTGAGCAAAAAATGAGTTAAAAATGTGAAACCAAACAAGGGCTAGAATTAGTACGCTGTGACAAAATTTTGTTATCTTTGTCAAATTTTATAGTAGATCTGTAGATGGATCAAAAAGAGTTAAGAAAAAAAAAGAAACATTCTGGGTAATTTGGACCGGATTGATTGTGGGTAGTTATGGCTATGTTTGGTGCAGTTAAAAAAATTGATTTAAATCAAGGTCAAAAATTAATTTATCACACAATTTAAATGACACGACTTTTCAACTACATATTCTATTAATTTTTATCAAAATCTATAATAAACTAATTTTTATTCAAACCAAACAGGAGCATAATAAAAAATCAAGAACGAATGTGTTTAATTTTAGAACTAAGAGACAAAGATAAGGAAATCAAATTTTATTTATTGGATAAAACAGGAAATTATACATTATAACGGATACATGCAACGAAGAAAATAATAAAGAATACAACATACAATTGAAAAGTGATGCACGATTTAACTTTAGAGTCCGGCGGTGAATGGCACATTGGTTGCCGGCAACCATGAACGTCCAGCAATAAAATTCGCCGCTGTGAACCTCGATGCCTCAGTCGGACTCGTTATAACACGGTATCCCCGCCACCTGACTCGCCGGCCGGTGGCAGAACCAGGGCCGGAGTTCCTATATTCTCCATAATACAATGTATTCAGAGCAAAATTACCATCCCACTCCAGCCACCCCGCTGGATCCACCAATGAATCCATGTACGTTTGAAGAAAAACTGTACGTGAATATTGCTTCCAGGGCCTTCCCAGGAACGTCCTGAATGAACTCAACACCGGCCGGAGATCAGCCGCAGCCATTACTCGTGAATTTTGGATTGAAATTCCGGTGTTCTGGTTCGGATCAGTCCGGCCTTGTGCTGTAATGACGTTTTTCTGTTTATCCATAGGCTTTCTTGCATAAATCATGCAGTTCTGGAGAACTGCTGCTGCATTTCCGAAGATGAAATCTACTGTCCCGTACATGTAACATTCTTTGTAGAATTGGCGTTGGGAGTGGACGTAAAGAGTGTCTTGGTATCCTTCGAAGCTGCAGCGGTAAAAGACGGAGAGGTCGGAGCCGGAGCGGAGTGCCACCGCTTGGTGGTTCTGCGGACCTGCAGTATTCCTGAAGGTGATGCCACGAGCAATGAATCCTTCGCCGGTGACAGCTGAGGAGCCATGAATGAGAATTGGTCATGATTCATCAAATGCATGACTATACATGAAATTTAAAATTATTGATTTGTGACAGATACGAAAATTGACTTTTAATTTTTCTTTGTGCTTCTAGAGATTAAAGAATATCAATGCGAAAAAATCACCATTTTCAGTCAATTATTTTGAAATTGAAACATTATAATATCCATCAATCAGCATCATGACAGGTTAAAATTGAAAAGTTCTGATAATTGAATAAACTGATATCTCAAGACCTTATGAAAGAAATTATCAAAGCAAGTTATATGTAGGCGTGTTCGTGTCGGATTGGTGGCCGGGGGAAGGAGGGGGTGTTGAACCCGATAAGGGTCCTAAATACAAGTTTCTGAGTGTAGTGAAAGCATAACATAAATAAATAACTTCATCATTTCTTCAACACTTTAAGCTTTTAGATAAGGAAGTTGAACATAGAGTGGGGTGGGGTGGATGAGAATCAGAACTTACCGACGGTTGCTGAATTGAAGGTGGTGGAGCCTCCTCCAACACTTCTGCTACCGGTAATAATAGTGTATTTCATTCCATCACCTACCAGCATGATATTCTTCAATTTGTTTCCAACAACTAAATTCTCCCGGTAAACACCTTGTTTCACATGTATAATGAATCTTCCATTGTCACTCCTCCTTTCTGCAGCATCAAGGGCAGCCTTAATGGTCCGGTAATTCCCAGACCCGTCCTGAGCCACCACAAGGTTCGGCCTGATGGACGACGTTTGCAACAGCTTCCTGTCTCCAGGTGAAACCCAACTAGGAAACCCATGATACGTTTCTTTAACATTAGTACCATTATTTCCAAGAGCCAAAGTGTTGCATATCAATTGTGACACATTATTCGACATCAAAGGCAGCATAAAATCCGACACACCAAGTTCCCTAAACCCCGTTCGACAAGTCTCAAGGTTTGTCAATGCAGTACTGAGCCATGTTTGAGCATCAAAATCAGTACATTTGGTGTTGGGGTCTATGGTTTTGTTAAGTTGCTCGACGGTGCTTTCATATAGCTTCAAACAATCAGCCCAAGCAGCTTTTTCGCGGTTGTTTCTGCACTTGACCCCAAGCTCTTTAGTGTGAACCTCGGCTTTGAGTGCACGTTCCATGGCTAATTTGATAGCCATTTTTCTGAAATCGGATTTTTGTTTAGGCACAAAATGGCGGGGACCATGGTTCAAGAAATATTTGCATGGTTTGGGGTACGGGGTTTTGTTGCACCACTCGTTTATGCCATCGGAGGGGATTCCTGAGACGGCAAGGAGAAAGAAGAAGGATAAGGAAATCAAGAATATGAAGAATTGAAGCTTGATGGCCATTTTTGATAGTATGTTAGGTTGTGGGTTGCAATTACCATGGGAATGTCTCTTTATAAAGTGGAAAAAAAGGTTGCGCCAGGTTGTATTGTAGTTGGGAAATTACATAGTTGACTAATTCCCAGTCCACTGTATGCATTTACTTTTCCATAAACTATGATAATAATGTAAGCCAATAGAATACGACTTCATTAAAACAAAGAAAATGAAACGTGAGACATTTTCACGAAATTATTGAGAATGCATGCATAGGACATAAACACCATCACCTGTATGGTGCATTTTCTATTATTATTGGGTCCAAAATCGATCAAAAATTGTCAAGTGGTGTGGTTTATAAAAATTCTGTCAAATTTTTCATGTACCTATCGCATAAATGAATATTTCAAATAGGGTACAGAACGTAGGGCCTTCAATCAATGGAACAGTGTGAAGGGTAAAAATTTCAGTTCCTTTAAATTATGAAAACAAGAATTAACTATGGAATAGTGTGAAAGCCATTAACATCAAATTCAAACTTTCTTGTTGTATGCAAAGGATAAAAATATTATGTCGATTAGATATGAAAATAAGAATTAGCCACCGTTTGTTTCTCATTTTTCATCCATAAAAATGAAAAATATAACCATTATCCGTCACATCAAGCCATCAAGTTTGAATTTCTATCTCTTGTGTGGGCCCAACAACGACTATATTTTTTATTCTCATTCTACAATAATGAGAATCAAACGGACCCTTAATAGATAAAGATTCGGTCTAGTGCTCTTAATAAACTTCACAGTTTAATATGAAATCAAACCTCATGACTCAATGTTGTTTTAGAATACAGAAACTCAAATGAATAATTTGATCCGTCTAATATTTATATTCTAATAGTGGCGTTTCAAATGGACCACCATCTTACATGACCATTTAACTATATGGTTAGTTAGTTAATATAAAAACAATGATCTTGATGAATGTTATTAAAATTGAGTTTTTAGATTAAAACCTCGGTTTCAATGAATATAAATTAAGAAAATTCAAAATTAATGTT